TATCTTCTTCTTTTTGTGGCTGTGGATGCCTTTCAGCACGGCCTTTTTGGCCTTCAAAGGTTTTGCTTTGGCTTCAGCTTTGGGAGGGGCAGGGGCTTCCTTCTTTGCTTTCGGCGCCATCTTGGTAAAAAGGCTCCTATTTCCAATTATTTGAAGTGTTCGCTGAAGTGGTATCTTTAAAAAAGTTATTGAAGGCAGGCAAGATAGCTCAGCGGACTAAATCACCTATGTAGGCAAGCTTAGGCAAGCACAGGGACTGTGGTTCAATCCCTAGCACCACATGCCCTGCCAGCCCTGCCCCCAGGGTGGACTGAGCAGGCTGTGAAAAAAAAAAGTTATTGAAATATTGTTTGAATATGTTATGAAGTACGTTATGGTAATTTAACACATGTGCAATAATATATCATAATCAAATAATAATAATCAAATTGGGCATTAAACATTTGTCTCCAAACATCATTTTTTATGTATTGAGAATTGTATATTCTTCTAGTCATTTTAAAATATATCATAGATTGTTTTAATCAGTAGTCACCCTACTGTATTATAGAAAGATCAGAACTAAATCCTCCTTCTTAAATGTCTTTTTGTACTGTTTGCTGAACTTATTTATATTCCTCAACCCTATGCTTCCCAGCCTTTAGTGACCACTATTCCATTCTGTTCTTCTGCAAGATGTACTTTTTAGTTTTTCAAATGAGTGAGAATGTATAATATTTGTTTTTCTGTGAATGGCTTATTTCACATAACAAAATGTTATTATAATGACAGAATTTCATTCTTTTTGTGGATAATAATATTGTTTTTTATGTATCCATGAATCCACTAATGGGCGTATAGGATTGAATCTATATTTTAGCTACTGTGACTAATGTTTTAATCAACACAGGAATGCAAGTACCCTTTTGGTATAATGATTTTGTCTTTGAATATATAACCAGTCATGGGATTACTAGATCATATGATTTTTTTTTCTTGGAGAAATCTCCATACAGTTTCCCTACTGTCTTCTATAATTACATTCCCACCAACAGTGTATAAGACTTCTCCTTTTTCCACATCTTTGTCAGTATTTATTTTTCATCTTTTTTTTTCCCCTTTTTAAAGAAATCTTTTATTTATTTGGTACAGGGTCTCACTACAAAGCTTGGACCTATAGTGTTCCTCCTGTCTCAGCCTCCCCAGCACTGGGAGTGGAGGCATGTACCACCACACCCAGTTACAGCACGCCTGGGACTAGTTCAGCATGTGATACCAGAGATTGAACCTAGGTCTTCACCCTTGCCAGGCAGCCGTAAGGACTTCCAAGCTGTCTCCCCAGCCCCTACTTTTATATTTTGGATGATAGCCATTCTATGGTGAAATACACCCTTAGGGATTTGATTTGCATTTCCTCAATGATCAAGAGTGACCATTTACCCCCATTCACTCACTTACTTGTTGGCCATTTTTATGATGTCTTCTTTTTTTTTTTAAGTCTTCCTTTGAGAAATGTACTTAGTTCTTTAGCCAGTTGTAAAATTTGATTATTTGTGGGATTTTTGTAGTTTTGTTTTGTTGTTGTTGTTGGGGTTTTTGTTTGTTTTTAGTGTTGAGTCTTTTGAGAACCATATGTATTCTGGGTATTAATGCTTTAAGTATTTGGTTCATTGAGTTGATTTTGTTAGGGCTTTTTTTCTTAAATGTTTGGTAAAATTCCTGGTGAAACCTTTGTGTCTGGAGTTTTCATTGTATGAAAACTTTATATCAATTTCTCAATCAGATAAAGCACTATTCAGATTGTCTTTTTCTTCTTGAGTGAGGTTTGGTAGTTTGCATCTGTGATACTATGATGATTTATAATAATAAATTTATATAATAAGAAATTTTACTGTCATTTTATGGAACACAGCTCTTAAAACCCTTGGAATCTTGAAATGATGAGTTTCTTTGTATATGCTATGGAGATGGGTGTCTGGAAGTTCCTGGATAGCCTCTTGACTAGACCTGGCACCTGTCAGCCCTTTGTGGGTAAGGAGGTGTTCAAAAGCTGAAGATTGGGTTGATGTCTGTGAATCACCAGTGATTCAATCAATCATACTTCTGTAATGAACCCTGCATAAAATCCAAAAGAAAGCGTGGACATAATTCAGTGACAGAAAGCCTACCTAGCATCTCAAGGTTCAGATGTGGAAGCCAGGACCCCAGGGATTCTGAGACCTGCACGGTTGCCGAATTACATCCATGTGCCAAGAGGAGAGCACCCTGCGGCACTACTGGGATAAAGGCTCCTGCACTCTAAAACCTCCCAAAACCTGCCCCATTTGTCTTTTTTGTAGCTGTTCTTTTATGTATTGAAATAGCCTTTGTTATAAATCAGTAATTGTGAGTCAGCTATTTTCCTGACTTCTGTGAGCCATTTCGCAAGTGATTGAACC